GTGTGTTCCAACTCACACAGAATCCAACAGCATCTCCACAGGCCTTTCATCCCAAGTCTCATAAAATTCAACAAGAAGTTCATCAAGTATGATACCAGACCTGCCAAAACCTCACAAAACCTGCTGTAAAGTATGGCACGTTTGGGGTAGTTAGGGTTAACCATCCTACTGTGCCATAGTGAAATACTCTTGCAAACCCGCTAAAGCTTCTTTTTTGTACCTTCACAGTTCAATCTACCATAAAATGGCAATGCGGTTTGACCAAGCAAAATGTCGATCATGATAACTTCAGAACCAACAAGCAACAAAGCTTGCACGCCACACTCTTTCACCGATGATTACATTTCAATTTTTATTCTACTGATCAAAAAAACCCAAAAAACCAAGACTTTAGGGCTATAACAGCGACTAAGTCGAGCAACACTTACATCTGTTTTGGACTTGGTCAAGGGCTTGGCTTCCAGTGCCTTTTTTATCTCATCCACTTGCTCGGCGAGCTTCTTCACAAAGCTCAGGATCTCGGCTCGCTTGTCTGCCGACAAGCTCTTGTCCTCAAGCTTAGTCAAGAAGGACTACCCAAAAGAAAATACAGCAAATGAATACAAGTTTAAAATATCAGCTAACCCCCGGGTATGGCAAGACAGACTAAGGACAAGTCCACATCTGTACGCCAGCAAGTATTTTGTTCCGAATTTTCTACTCCATAAATGGCAAACCACTAAAAGTTTGGTGAGCAAAAATGAAGTAAGAAAACTATTATCTTACGAGTTAATGATCTCGGCAATAAAGCTACAAAATTTTGGAATATACTGACAACATTTTATAGCATCTCATGCTTAGGATGCGTCTCACAAGTTCCAATGAGAAAACTGCTTGCTCCAATTGAGAACACCTGCATTCCCTGCTAAGTGTAACGTATGTTCCTGAATGGGAACAGTGGTCTACGTGTGGGAACATGCAAATTCAGTGGCATATGTTCCTTAGGGGCAGAGAGCGAATTCCTACAGGGAACATAAAGTGTTAAATAAAGGAGTATGCTAGAGGGAACAGGAACGCTGCAACTTTTGAGATGTTCCCTCATCCACTAGCAGCCTCGTCAGTATGAGGGGGGGAAAGGCATATGGGTTTCTGTAGAGTAGTAAGTTTACTGATAGCTGACTGGATACAGGAGAGTTCCCAGCAAAATAACGCCTGCAGAGTTGAGATAACACGGCCAGGGTGCAGTGCCTTCNCCCCCCAACTTTCCTCACCTTCTGCTGTTGGATCAGCTTGACCAGCAGCTCCTGCTTCTGTCTCCTGATCTCCACCTGCTTCTTCTGGGCCAGCTTGCGCTGCTCCTCTTGCTTCTTGCGCACTGCTTCCTGGGCCGCCGCCACCTTCCTGGCCGCTAGCAGGGAGGCCTGGGGCGCCTTCAGGGCGGCCGGGTTGAAGACGGTCTTGGACAGGCCCGTGCCTGTGCTTTTGACCACGACCTGGAAGGTGGAGGGGGGGGGAATGAATTAGAAAGCCATTCAAACAGTGCATAACGTGGTACAGAGCTGAAATGTTTGATGAACTCTTTGTGTTTTTTGTATCTACACTGGCAAAAACCTTGCAAAGTATGATTGGCTGACAAGGTGTGGAGATGGTTTATAAAGACAAGGAAATCTGGCCACGAGAAAGTTTCCTGTGAAAACCAACAACGGAGTTGCCGTATGCATGTAGTCCCTCACCGCCTAAGAAGCAACTGGAGATGCACACTATCTGATTGTGTTACGCATGACCTGGCATGCTTCAAACACTGATGAAGTAAGTTTATCTGAGAATACTTGAACACAAGTTCATGAACTTGCTGTAGTCTACTTCAACATCTGCTGGTCGATCGTCAGTTCCAACGGGCCTGCCGCTTGTCTAAGAAAGACAACAATTCTGGTACTTACGATGCTGCAAACCTATTCCAGGATGATCTGCAACATGGCTTGGGAGAGCCCCCTCTTACCCTTTCTGATGTTTCCGGTGGGTTCTTGACAAAGGTCAGCTGATCTTTGGTTGGGATTCCTAGCCTGTCTTTCACAGAGCCTTTACTGGACGACCCTTGACCTGGGCTCTGGGATGAGGCATCACTGCCATCCTGAATGAGGAGCAGACATATTATTAACAACTTTGACATTTTTTCTGAAGTCTAAAATTCTTCTCAACAATTAATAAATGTGTATTTGCTAAGGAAGGGATATTTTACAGGAGTGTCATGTACCGCTTGTGAGATGCAAGGTCTTCAGTTTGAGAAAGACTGCAAATTATACTCTGGGTATGCCTTCCTGCCTAACTACTGTCTAGTCCAGTACCTTACACACTCTAGCTGAACCACCAGCATGCATGCTGTTACTGAATTGGGTTAATTGCCTTCTCTATGCATGGTTATTTTTAGTTTTTTTATTTGCTTTTGTTGGATTCGGTGGAAGTTAACCCTAACCCCCCAAGGGTTGCTGGCCCTAACCTTCCCATTCACACAAAGCTAAACATTCATATGGGACTTTGTGCACAGAGGCTGTTGGACTTTGTATGAGGTATGCCAAACCCAATGCAAAAGCCAGTTGTTATGGGCCTACCAGACCTATCCCCACAGTTTATAAACACTTTACTACTGTTTAATTCTGTGTGGTTGAGGAAGGTTAGGGTTATTAGCCGACTCAATGCCTGGCTGCAGATAGCCTAAATGTCTGAAGGGGCAGCATTAAAGGGCTACCAAGGAATTCCATTTCTTTACCTGCCCGGCATTCTCGTTGTGCCAGAACACCTTGATGAAGCGATTGTTCAGGACAGCCTCGATGGAGTTGTGTGCCGCCCTCGCTTGGAGGTGGGTGTCATAAGTGATGAGGGCAGCATCCGGCTGTCCTCCGTAAGCAACCTGTTGAGGTCAGATGCAAGGTAAAACGAGGCATTACGACAGTGACTACACTGGAACCCTTTGGGGAGCCGATAAACTCAACAGCATCTACGAAAATATCTATCAGGGGAGTTTTAGGAGACAACAGAACAACTTGTACTCTTAGCTGCCGAAGCAGTTGCATGTTTATGACTGTTTGAGAATGTTACGTGCAACTTAAAAAAGGACAGATATACAGAAGTAGTTTGAAAAGCTTCATGTCAAATATCCTTTTGAATGTGGCATGGTCTGATAACAAACCCATATCAAGTTAATCGATCTTCTAAGGCAGAGTCCAACAGAACTGCATGTGTTTGTGTATGTGTTACCAGTGGAGACCTGGAACTAGCCAATACTCATATGATCAAAATGCACCCTTAAGGCTGGTGCACACTTTGGATGAATGCTAGTTTGACGTTGTGAAAGGTATGCATTGAAATTCCCTTGAGTTGGAACGTGTTCAACTTTTACAAATTTGCAATAATCGATCTGCTGTTACAAAATCACATATGTGTTCGCTTTCCGCCAAAGCATGGAGTGTCCTTTAGGTAAACACTGTCGGGGTCACCAGGGGCACTGACCTGAAGGTTGGTGATGACACCAAACTTCTGGAAGTGTTCGTTGAGCTTGGCGATGCTGTTCAGCTCCCGGGGGATCTTGCGGATCTCCAGGGTGCGGCTACTGTGGGTGACCTTAGCCTTGGGCCTCCAGCCACTACTACTGCCGACGCCACTCACTACCTTCCGGGTGGAGTCCGGCGTCATCGTCTTGCTCGGGGAGGAAGAGGCACCACTGCCGCCCTCTTGGGACGTATCGGGCTCGTGAGGCCTCTTGCGCCCTGTCGCGTTCGCGGTGGACGAGGAGGCGGCTACGACTGTCCTGGAATCAGAGGCTTGCTGGCTGCCAGTCGATTCTGGTGTCTCCATGACAACAGTGCGGGTACTTCCCGTATCCAGTTTTTTGGTTTCGGCTTCCAACTCTTCAATATCTGTTGCAATAAACAATACCAGGTTTCAGTATGTTGTGCTTTTCTTAGTCCTGAACAGATTTTCTCCTCCAAATGCTGGAACTGAAATTGTAGTAAAGCCACTCTGAGATATGTAATTAATTGGTTGAGGAAATAGTACTTGTGTCAAGAGGCCCTAAATACTGAAAGAAAAGGCAGAACTTTAGTTCCATTCTGTTTCGGACATTAACTCTTGCACTACTGAGAATCTTTCAGAATCTTCTGGCGTAAACTTCACTGCAGTACACAAGTATAACATTCTTTGTATTTCAACATTTCAAAGACGTTTCAGGCCCAGGTAATGTAATAGGCTGGGCCCTACCTTCCTGTATCCTGCCAACAAAAACCTTCCAAGTTTCTGGTTAGAATAGGAAAGATTAGGGAGGATTCAAGATCGAGGAACTGAAGTTCACATCGAAACTGGAACCACCGTATATCACCTTTTGGCTCAGCGAGCGGCACTGTCTGGACTCCAATGAGTGATCTCAAGTTGGCTGACTGGTTGCGGCCGGACCGTGGGACGTAATAGGGCTTGGCATCTATGGACGGGTCCTCTGGGTTGTATGCGTCCGGCTGCGGCTGGCCGTCTGTGGATGGACAGACAACTAGAGTGGTTAGAGTAGTATGAGAAGGTTTGTCTCGATGTTACCGGAATGCATGCATTTTCTAGACCATAAAATTCCTGTCTTTCCCATTGCCTAATTATGAAAATTCATAACCTAGTTCATCTAAATGTGGATCAAAAATTGCAGACATTTGTTGAATTTTGTCCAGCAAAAAAATTTAGATTTCCAATACTGATTTTCGTTTATCATTCATTATTAATGATGCTTAAAATTAAAATGTAAATACGTCAGTCCTCTCAAACGTCCATGAAATTGCAAATGGAATTCCAAGACTTGTCCATTTTCCTGGCAACAGGAACCCTGCATGATCTTGTGATAAACTGCTATTGCTCTCTCTACAGTCAGGGAATTAACTATTGAAGTTAAGTTCCTTGCGCTGATCACGCGCAAACAAAGGTAGGCTACCGAGGACACCTACTGTGTGGAACAGAACAAAAAAATGGTACCAGAAGTTCCAACATATAGTTTTTGGAACTACGATCGCTACATCCTCAGAGCAAAACATTACACTTAATCCTTTTTACCTGATGATGGGGCAAATCGTCCCTTGGGTGCGTCCATTCTTGGGGCACGTTCCTGGAATGTTGCAGGGGGCAGGTTGGGTCGGGTGGGTGGGTGTCCTGTGAATTTAAGGTGACACAATCAAAAATTCCAATTTCATGTGGGTTTCATGTTGAGGTTTGGAAGTCTAGTGTGTGGAAACCCATCCATTGAAAGATTCCACATGCAGATTTCCATATCTGTCTCCATATTATGACATCACATCTGACTTATGATTTTTGAGTTCAGAACAAGTCTCTTATTTCCAAGAGTGATGAATTAATGCAAATTACCTGCCAAACAACTAGAAATAGTTTGAAACCAATTTCAGTGATACGTCCATGTCAAATTCCACAGTTCACGTGTAACAGGTGACACAAGAATGTCACACTTTTGGACTCCAAATTTATAGAATGACCCGACTGCAATGTTGCATGCCTAACAGGCTATCGGTTCAAATTCACTGTGAGTTGTAATTTTTAAGCTACACAAGTATTCCTTAATTTAAAAAAACGGCCAGCAAAGTGATTTTACCACCTCACAAAGATGTATCTGCCTCATGCATAACCTGTAAAAATCTAAATTACCCATGACTGACACAGAAAATCCGTGAACATAATCTCTTGAATAGCAGCTGCAGGTTTAAGAAAGGTAATTTTTCTATCACTTTCAAATCTTGGAGTTCATGAACGACACCCGATTCAAACTGGACCAAGGACAAGAGCAACAATCTGGCCCCAGAATTGACAGAATGACCGATATACTCTTGCCATCACAAGCAAAATTTGGAGAGCAAGGTGGAGAAGCTGACCTTGATGCAGAGGGGGGCCGACGGGGCGAATAGGGTGGACTCCCTGACGAGGCATTGGTCTCAGCTCGTTGTGGTCTGGACCTGAGACAGTGCAAAGAAAGGAACACCCCAAAAATGAAAAAAAAAAGTACTGCCCACCCTCTAATCATGACATTTAAAAAGACAGTCATTGCTGCATGAGCCCGGCAATGGTGCAACACAAAATCACGCTTCACTGGACAGCTGCAGATACGTGCGATGAGACCTCGAAATAGACACATGCAAAATTGGAAATACCTACTAATGAAGAGAAATCTGGTTCTGTGAACTAAATAACTGCAATATCTTAGGTTTTGGAGCTGTTGTGTTGGGCTGTTTTTTGGGGGAGGCTATCGAAATTCTGAACGTAATTCATGCTGTCGTAGAGGACATTGGCTCCTGGCTGGTCCATGTTATTCTCATCATTTTTAGTGGTAGGGACCAGTGTATCATGAGCGCATTGTCGACATGCATAATGCAAGATCCTTAACCGTCAGGGAAACCAGTTTGCGAATTATCATTTGCATGTTTTATTTTACTCAACACTTTACTCTTTACACCCTCTCGTACATACAAATAGTTCTGGTAAAAATCCATAGAGTTTTAGAAGACATGCACATGTTATTCTGTGGTGCAGGTGCGCTGTGCAGTGTAAACTGTGCTTAACACTGTTGCATGGACTACATCTCTCTATGGATATAATGCTCAAATGAGTTTGGTCCCTTTACGAGTGCTATAAGGGGAACCTACAGAAGTTGCGTTGTGCAGCAAACATCTCAACTTTCAACAAGAACTTGTCAAGCTGGCAGAAAATTACCATTTGGTTGTCAGATTTCCATGCAAAAGATGTAACATGTTTGATAAGTGACCAACATGATCTAATTGAATGTTTAAAACCAATTTTAACAGGTGGTTTAATACCTGGAGGGCCTTGTGGAGGCATCGGTCCTCGTGGAGGCATCGGTCCTCGTGGAGGCATCTGCCCTCTCATGCCCATGTGAGGTGGTGGAAGCTGGCCTGGACCCCCGGCCAGGGGAGGTGGCTGACTGGGGTGTATGGGTGGCATACCCCTACCCATGGGTGGTGGACCTCTGAGCATGGGTGGCGGACCCCCCGCCATGGGAGGAGGCCCGCCTGGGAATGGCCCTCCCTGGGAGTGAGGAGGGGGTAGCATGGGTCCCCTGGGGGGTGCGGGCATCCTGGCCGGTGGTGGTTGCTGGGGCGGGGGGCCAAGCCGCTGGCCGACTGGGAAAGGATCGCCATACTGCCCGCCTGGGGGAGGCGGCCCCAGGGGCGGCCGCGGCAGCATCCCTGGTTGTGGTGGCGGCATCTGGGAGTTGATCTGAGGGGGTGGGGGTTGGGAGGGAGGAGGCTGGGCAGGCAGGGGTGGGGTGCGCTGCTTGAGAATGTTGACATCCTCCACGATGACCGGGTCATTTCCGTGGTCAAACGGGCACAACTCTCCCCGCATGCAGAAACCTTTTTCTGTTACAATAAACCAAATTTTAAAAAATTAAACAAGAGTAAGGCTGTGTCTGAATTACCTGGCTGTGGACTAAAATTATGCACAAGTCAATGGTAGCGGCAGCGACCAGTTCACATAGAGTTGTGTGAGATTTCAAGCCATAGCCAAGTGATTCGGACATAGCCTAAGTCATCAAAACAAGCACTAGTCTCCATTCCAACACCTCCCTGTAGCTTATTCCATGATCATCAACCATCACTGTTAGAGGGTGCTGTCTTTAGAAAAACTGCTATCACAGGAAGGTCTTGGATATTTCTTTTGATCTGGGGCAGCAACAGACTATGGTAACAATGGTAGGATATGCATTATTCACATCGGTGGATATTACCCAAATGAACCTCAACCTGCTTCACGTTTTCGCACAACATTTTCACACTGAAACATCAGCCAACATGGTTTTCTTGGATTTAGGCACACACAAAATATCCTTCTCTTTCCTAGGGGCAGCAGGCTGCAGCCAAGGACTTGCCATGACTGCAGATAACCGAAAAACTTGAGCCATTTAAAATGTTTGCAGTGTTGCACACGATACAGTCACAACCATGATGGTGTATGTCTCTGCTTGCTTTAGCACCACGAATGTGGCCTATTTCTTACCCCCCCGACTGGAAAATGACTGGATGAATGCTCATGAAATAGCTGAATATGGGTAGTTTTTATAAAACTGATCTATCAGCTTCCCTTGAAGGAAAATTACAACCACCTAAACATAACATTTTACACAGAAATATTTTGACTTTTGAGTTCAGGACACCATTTTGTTTTCAATTCTGTATTGAGTGATGTCATGATGAAACATTAACAATTCAATAGGAAGCTCAAACCAAGCTGTTGATTGGCTTCCCCAATAAGTCAGGGGAAAAGAGTGTTAACATAAGTACTGCCGAATGAAATGTCCCAGACCTTCGCTCGTATAGCGTCCTCTGTAGTTTGACTTAATTCATAACAGCTAAAAGGAGGATTGCGAAGGTCTTAGAGCCTTTTCGAAATGAGTGGATTCGGCTTGGACTTTGTTTTCACTGGTTTCAGCCATTATGAAGCAGCGTTGAAACCGCATGTTCAAGCTCAGACTGGAACCAGCAAAACCGAAATCTAAGCCGAATGCACTTGTTTCGAAAATGCTCTTAGAACCAAGATTAAACAAGCACTGACTACATCTGCAATGAGGACCTATGTATCCCTGTGTTTGACAAGAGTACATATGAATTTCATGTACTCAAGTTGATTCCAGGGAAGCAAGCTATTATAGCATTCTACTGGATAAAAACAGACCACTGTTAGATCCTGTATTTATGAATACAGCTGAATGCTAACTTAATTTACTTGTACTCATGTACAATTAGAATGCAGGTATACTAGATTTACGTGATTGACTTAAAGTAAAATCAACTCCAAATAGGGTAAATCAAAGACACATGTTCACGGGTTGATATGCTGAACAACTATGTCAAACAGCACCACTTCAATAACAGATAGTCATTTTCAAGGCTCAGGTTGCTTCTTATAGTTTATTTCAGGTGTAAACAAAGACCAGTCTACTTTTGGTTTCATTAACTCACCATCGTAATCACGGCAACGATCCCTGGGCCGCAGGCCAGACTGGTTCCCTTCACCGCCCCCTACGACAGTAATTATGCTGTTCACACTGCCGGCACCGGTGACGGGTACTGGTGACCTGCTACGGGATCGAGAACGGGACCGGGAGCGTGTGCGATGCCCGCCGGCATCGTCACGGCGATCTTCGCGCCGGTCATCACGACGGTCACTGTACGGACGGTCTCTGTTGCTACGATAGCCTGGAATGATAAATGCCCCGGAAATGAAAATCAAGCATCTGCCGTCTCGGAGACGTGTCCCATTACCGCTGGCTACTGAGAATCAAAAGCATGTTGTGGAAGTTTAAAAAAACCACAGAAATTAAGAGCATTGTTTCTGTAGGTCTATAGGTCCTATCCTTAAAGATATTCAAGAGCTTTTTCGATTTAGTGGAAGTGGTAGCGTTGCAACTCTGAAAACTTCAAATGAGTTCCCTCAGTAACAGTCACGTGTTTCTAATCCCAATTTTTTAAAGCATTCTCGCTAGAAACCTTCCTGACTCCTGCAATATCCTCAACTGCGCAGGAAAACAATGTCGCATTCTTTGGGCTTTGAGGGGGCAGGGAGCCCCTTGTGCAATAGTAGTGGCTGGGGCATTCTTTGGACTTTGAGGGGGCAGGGAGCCCCTTGTACCGTAGTAGTGGCTGGGGCATTCTTTGGACTTTGAGGGGGCAGGGAGCCCCTTGTACAGTAGTAGTGGCTGGGCTTGAACTTCCTGAAAAAGGATCCTTCCAAATCCTCCTGAACCTCCCAGTGAACTTCGGTGAGGCTGGGAGAAAGGAAGCTCCAACCGTAAGCTGTGGCTGAACCTTTGGATCCACATTTCTTTCAATACGGGCGATTTACAATAGTGTGCCACCAAGAGTCTGCAACGCGTTGGTCAATCACAATGCGCGAAATCTGTTTACCCAATGCACATTCGGAAAGGTTCGACAAATTTTGCGTGTTGTGATTGGCCAGCGCATTGTAGACTTTTGGGGGGACGCACTATTGTGAATCGCCTGTATTAAGAACCCATTTCTGATAAGATGATATTGAACTGCAATTTGTACACTGGTTGGCAAATTCTATTCAGGGGTTGCCCGCAGGGAACTTTAGGTATTTCTGACCAGTGCTCATCAGGGAAGAAGATTTGGAAGTGGGTTTTGAGTTGCAATTTTAATTGATCCCCTCTTTTTTCTACTGCAGGGAAAAAAATTCCCCAAGTTGTTACCGCATGATATATGCTCAGAATACAAACCACGCCAAGGTGGCCATGCTTAATGCCAACCACACACTTGAAAACTGGCCTCTCTGTGGCAACCTCTTGGTGGCACACTATATCATGCAGCATTCCTTCTTCACACGGTATCCCCTTACAAAAATGTATGGGCTTTGAGCTGGACCAAGAAAGGGTGCAATTTTCCTAGCAACGGAGGCTCCTTTGGTAAAATTTGTGCATCGCTGATTCACAACTGACTATGAAACGCAAGCGATGCAGACACATTGCTACCAACAAAATGAACACTCCCAAGCAACATGGCTCTTTTCAACCGAAGGGGGAGTGCTTCTGCTGGAGTGCGGATACCCCCTCCCAGTGTTCTATCTAGGACCATTTTAGTGCCGGGTAAATTTTTGGATTGCAAAGCCTAGAGAGCGCAGTTCTCAACGCTTTCTGATGCTTGAAATACGATCAAATTGGTACATTTAATCAGAGATGCCAAATTTTCAAAATGAAAATGTGTAATCATATCGCACTTCCAGTTCTGGTTTCCCGACCAACCCTTATTTTTCAACACGCCCCTAAATATTTTCATCAGCAAATTAGAAAAAGTTTTTAAAAATTCTACCGTCTTTCCTTTCAAAACAAACACCTGTCAACAACTTCTTGTCACGTCAAAACACTTGTAATTAGCCTACCTGACTAGCATTGCGCAAGTGTGAATTGTAATTGTTGATTAGAATTTTTGTTATTTTATTATTGTTTTTAAAGTTTTTATTTTAATCACTTTTGGTAAAATTTTTGGCAACCTTCATCCCATTCAATCAACACAAAAATATTGCCAAAAAATCCTTACCTACCAACCCTATTTAATCGGAAGCAGCCCAATTTTTTCTTGGCCTATTCATTAATTTAACTAATGTGCTTTTCAGTATCGTAAAATCCAGTGCGGCCAATATTTATCATGTCACAGTTAAATGTACATGCACTGCGAAACACATAAGTTTCTCCACGACAAGACTCTGTAATGGCCCATTTGTATTCGTCCCTGAAATTGTGCTCACTTGTTGCAACGGTGCAAAACAAGTCCAGTTGCTCACCAAATATCCAAGCATCAAATCAAGTCCTCCTACTCCAGTCAACTTTAGCACGATCATGATGTTCGACACACGTGTGTACAATATCGGTACATGTACATGCATGTACAATGCACATATGGACGTACACAATCACGTTGCGATCGTGCTTATTCGCCTCCTGTTCATCATAGTGTTAATCAGGGCAAACGGATGATTCAACCACTACTCACGCAGCGTGTATGCACAAAGTGTGGGATGCCAGCAACACATTTCTGACGCGCGCATTACGAGGTCTGCTCTGTACTGCCGGTAGCTTACGTTTAGAATTAACAGACAAATGGTTTTATACCAGTTGAAGATCAAAAAAATCTTAGTCTGGATCATACAGTCGTAAAATGGACTAAACAAATGGTACAAATTACGCCTAAATCCTACAACGTGGCATCTCTGCATTTTCAGTTTGAAAATCTGTGCTTGGGGGCACCGCAAATTTCAACCCCGAGTGCCGGGCGGAAATTTGCAGTACCAGGTGGTGCCCAGTACCCAGCGCCGTCCACTGTGGCTAGAACCCTGCCCCCTCCAGAGCCCTGATGACACACCTGTACATCACAACTGACACTGTCAGCTTGGGAAACAGGTCATCGGGTCACTTACCTCTGAAGCCCCTGTCTCTATTTCTTTCTCTCTCCCTATCACGATCTCTGTCACTGTGATAGCGGCTGCCGTGACGATCAAACCGATCACCCCGTCGACGGTATCTGTCGTCATCTCTTGGCCGTCTTCGCCTAATTGCATCAAAGGATTTAAAGAAAAGGAGTTTGTTCTGCAGTGTAGTCAACAGTTATATAATTAGAGCACGCCAGCGATTAATTTCTATTCAAGCCTATAGAAGATTTCAATCAAGTGATTTTTGACAGTCAGCATTCAATTGACATGGATGTGCTTGGAAACATGCCCCTTTGAAGTCTCAATATTCTGGCAAATGCACGTGCATCTTGTTTAGCTAAAGTCAAGTTTTTCAGTCGAAAATAACAAGAAGTTCTTTATTTGGGTGGAAAATTTTCTAAGTACATTTTGAGCATCGGTTTTAACGAATCAAGATAAGGTTTTTTTGAAAAGGTGAAACAATTCTGTTTCTTTCTCCTGAAGACGAACAGAGCACACTGTTCGAAACGTCGAGTGAACCCCGGTTCTTTTCAGAACCACACACACTCAAAGAGAGAATTTGATTACATGGTGTCACCGCAAACTTCACATAGTTAGTACTTTCGCCATGCATAGCCTCAAGTCTCAATTCTGTTCTTCTATTTCACTACTCAAAAAACTTATAAATATACATGAACATAGATAAATGCCATATTTCCATAAACTTGGAAAACGGCCACTCTGCGTCTTGTTTTTCAACTGACCTTCCAGGGCTGTGGCTCCTAGATCTGCTGCGCGAGCGACGTGGTCTGCGGTGGTCCTTCTCTCCTCCCTCCCCCGCTGCTTCCAAGGACCGCCTTGCCGCTTCGTTGCTTCTCATCGTGGAAACCGCCTCGCTCTGCAGGAGACTGACATCGGCATCCGACAACGGTGGCTGGGGTGGCTGGCCCTCCCCAGTGACATCAGAGGCAGACTGGTCCGCAGGTCTGTCCTTGTTCCCTTCCTGCTGTGTGTCGCCGCCGGGGACGCTGCCATCTTGCGTCAGGTAGGACTTGGTCATGATGGCTTCAAAGAGCTCATTGACAAAGCCATCCGTTTCTGCAGAACAGATTCAAGATTAGAATGAAAGTCTCAATGGAATGGTGGTCTGTTTTCCTGTTGCTTGAAATGGGCAGAGTGATTTTCCACTCAACATGTTTCGAGTCAGCATGTAGGGCCCACATCACTTACCCATAGCATCTTCCTGTCTATCCAAGTGAGACTTGGCATAAATCATTCTTTTTTTCCAAGTTCCAGTATTTTGAGTTCTCACAGACAATCTCACGTGGCATGAATTTAGGAAAATGTTTGCAATCTTAACCACGTCCACCCACCAAATTTTATTCAAATTTAACTTGCAAAAGGCTTATATTCCTAACTCCTCCACCCTTAGAGGAACCAAACCCAGGTTAAGTCCGCGTGCTTACCATTGACCAGGAAGACTTCCAGTTGAGCTTTGCAGATTTCTTTGAGCTCCTCTTCGCTTTTTTCCTTCTTCACAAGGGCAACAACATACTTTGATAATGGAACCGGGTCTGCTTCACATCTATGATTTGAGAGGATACGGAAGTGATCAGTAGGGCTTGAAAAAAAGGATGTATGATGTACAAAATGGAAACCGCAGGAAATTGACAACTAGTCATGTTTGTGGAACTTTCATCAACTTAATATTGCATCAAATATGATGTTACTCAAAGTGCACCAGTTTCTTCATGGGCCTACTACTTTACTACTTTTAATACTAGGGCCCAATTCAACCATGGAGGTAGAATAATTCTACCTCCATGATTCAACATGCTACAAACGTTATACTTACATTGGCTCAAGTTTCCGTTTTAACCATGCTTTAAGTTTCTCGACATTTGGGATGATCACAGGCATGGTGCAAACTTCTAATAAACCACAATGACGATGATGATTACCTCCCCTTTACACGCTCAAACTGGTTTAATAAGGTGCAGTATACATGTACGTGATGTACAATGTACATGTACAGTGCACTGTACGTATGTGACTGTACACGTACTATTGATTAGCGCCTTCCAACAGCATGACCGACCCTCGCAGTCACACCATGGCATTAGTGCGGTGAGAGATACGACGATAAAACTGGTTCTGTACAGAAGTACATACAAACGATAAGATTTCAAAATGACTAAATATACTTTTAGTATCGCATCCTCATCAAATGAGGTTTAGTAATACAATTATGAACTGTTACTTAGGACGTATTTAGAGACAAATGGTTGTTAGAACTACTCTCAGTTAGTTGCTCTCGTGCGTCACACACACGCCGTTAGCTTGCAATAGAAGGAAATTAGACCAGAGCCCCATTTTACAAAAAATCAACTCAGCTTCATTTTTAGGCAATCAATCGAAAGGAAGTCTAGGTGTCAGACGGCAATGATGAGCATAGCACAAATGAGGGCGCTACACACAAAGTACGGGCAACTCGCAGAGCGGGGCCGTTTCTCGACTTTGTCTCCGTCAGAGGCTTCTTACCCTGCCTCCTCCGATTATAGGCCTAAAGCGTGTAAATTGAATTGAAATTTGATAATATTTTGCCCTTTGTATCTTATTTGATGTTCCTCTGACACTACCTTGAGTTTACGACTTCAAAGCAAGGTGGTACAAAAAGCCTGAAGGAGACGCCGTACGGGTTTAGCAAAAATCAGTGGCACCGGCTTTCCAATTAAACTGAGGATACCCGCCGGGTGCCTAGTGAATTTAACGCGAAAGAAATCTTGAGCAAACTTTCTCTACCAATGCATTACTGAACTGTGTATGTAATTGTTTGATTGTTTGTTTAGTTGTGCTTGAGGCTTGTTGCAGGACCGTCGAAGGATAAACTATATATGAGCTTGTTGGCACTGTTTTACTTCTTCCATCTGTGGAGGTTGGAGCATCCCTCCTCCATGTTTTATCCACGATACCAAATCGCTGTTTGTCCCTAAGACAAGCCATGCAAGGCCACACAAGGTGTAAGTCTAGCAATTGTAACAACAGCTTTGATAAGATTGTGATAGCTCTGATCATGGAGGAAGGAAAACAGATAGACATGGGATGGGACATGAGCAGAATAGTTCTCCGCCTGTTCCTCAAATGCTAAAATCATGCTTCAATGCTGTTGGGGAACGACGTGCCATTTAACCAGCGGTACGATCTAGATTCAAACAGAAAAGATTTTTATTTAAAATTTTTAATACCTGTGGGCGATTAATGCCCAGATGCATCCAGCCCTCCCCCCCAGCACACATGCACGTGCAACTGAATATGACGTCACTAATGCTAACGCTTAACGGAAACGTGCTCCGTGCGCCACACGTAATGTGCATCGTCATTGATCTGTATACAACGTGTAATTACATTGATCGTGTGCTGCGTGCACCATGCGCGCCGGGTACCAGGAAAGGACCGCAAACGTGGTACTTGCATACATGAAAAAAAGTAAACGTATTAAAGGTCGTCAACGTGGTCTGTCCGCCGACTCTCACTTGCAAGGTAATCGAATGCACTGAAATTCGGAGCCTGGATATTGTGTGAGTTTGCTGGGAAGGTTATGGCGACATGTGCTTCGAGTGAGTTGTGAGTGGACTCCAATAAGGATTCTGATTTTCACGCTTAAATGTACCCTCCTGGCGTTATAGAAATGCGGTACTAAGTTTTTCCTGAGCGCAAAACTGCAACAGAACCGGGAGTGAGGTGGGAGGTGTGCAGGTTCGAGGCGAGATTCGCCGATGAAGTTAGCACTGCTAGCCGAGGTTTGGTAAAATTCCACGGTGTGGATTTTCTTTGCACATGTGATAGTCGTCTGACCTCTCGTGTGCACTGTGAACCCTTTCGTTGGTCGCTCAGTCGAATTCTACACTGAGTTGCACCATATTGAATGGAACTTTATCGGGTAAGACACGTGCTTGATCTTTGGAAGACTGTGCCGTGAGCACCACTGGAACATAATTAGGACTTCCGAGTTGCTGTAATTCCAGACAAGCTGCGAAAAGACCGGAAATTCGCCGATCAAATCCATTCATATCGTGACCCAACCACCCGTATACTCGACCTGATAGTGTGGTGCCGTGTGACTGCTCACGCGCCGGCGTGTGGAGGGCTGGGCAGCCAGCGAACGGAGCACAGAATAATTCCATAATTCATATTGGCAATTTGACCCTTCCTCCTTAACTTTAGCAAACTGTACACTTGTTATTCCATCGAAAAACACCTCATCCGAGGCTTTCAAACTGAAACAGTTTGTCATTGATAGTTCTTTGTCATGTGTATGTGAGGCTACAAATCTATTCAAAGCAAATCATTTCCTGATTCCATACTTCCTGGGAATGTGTGATTTAGTTTCTGCTCACAAGAGTGACCATTTGTGCTGAACTGAGCTTCAGGAAGCTGTATGAGAGATCTTTGTTTGTATTCACGCAACTCATATATTTCATTTGCCTACACTTTTTCAAGCACTTTGTGAAGTTTATAAAGATCAGAGCCGAAAGCTGTGCTCTGGAAGTGAGGAGCTAAAATGGCAGCAGAAGTTGCCAAGCAACCAAGCTACAGTAGTGTGGTTCAGGATCAGTCAGAACCTGCCAAAGTTGTGGACACTCATCCAAAAGTGTCCGCAGTGCGGCCAGACATCAATTCCACAGAATCCAAAGAAAATGTCAAACCTGTGGAACCGGAAAAGAGTGATGCAGAGCAAAACAGGACAGAGGAGAATGACACTGATGTGGTGAAGCATCAGTATGTCGAAGCTCCCCCTCCCAAGGTAAACCCCTGGCACAGGAATAACACAAATGCCGTGACTGTGGAGCCCACGCCTCAGGAGAGCCCCCTTGCAAAACCCAAGGACGCAAAGACCAAAACCGCAGGCCTGTCAAACAGCACTCACGTATCCAATGTGAAAAAGGCCAGCAGTGATACCAACAGGAGGCTGCCCCCAAAGACTGAGAAGGAGGAAAAACCAGAGAAGAAATTCATCATCGAGGAAGCTCCACCGCCAAAAGTTAACGCTTGGACGAAAAACAAGGTGGTCGGTGCCACGACCACAGCTGCCACTGTGAGCAGTCCAGCCCCAAGGACTTTGAAAGCCGAGGCATCGGCATCTGCGATCGCATCTGCAGTACCCCCAGCGCCACCTGTTCCCCCGGTCATATCGCAGAAAGACCAAAAGAATGCAAAACCCACAACACAGCCTGAGCAACAACCTGTGACGCACCTCCCTGCAGCTGTCAAACCTAACACACAATCCAAAGGTGAGGGACTTTTTACATGCATGCCCTAAACTGTCATTGGTTTTCTTCCAATAAATCAGATATATCATTTTCATTACACTATAATTTCCCAGTGTCAATTGTTATATCCTAATATGCTTGAATGTGCAAGACCACATGCTACGCAACACACAGTACAGTTGATTTGAAATCATATTGGTAAACAGAGCGGAAAGTTCTAAATTGTATATGCGCACAAAGTCGGATGTCAAATGCTTGTTTTGTCATCTGAGTAGCATGTAAATTTAGACATCTGCTGTCTCGGACTACATGCATTTAGACTTGGAGACTTCAAGTACTTCTAAAAATACTTCGTGCTGGGGTGCCTGGTATTGGTAAAGCCGGGGTGCTCAAAATCGGACAAAGGAGCTGGGCCTTGTAACAAAAGACTGTACTCGGAACAAAAGACTGGGCTGCTGGGAATTGCCAACATTTTTTTCAGTTGTCAATAGCGGAGGTAATCTGTCATTATTTTGAAAGAGTATACCACTGTTTGTGGCATTCAGTGTGAGCGGATTACGACTGGGGACAAAACGCTCCAGCAATGTGCGATATGATACTGCTGCACAGGCCAGTTTTGGGAACAAAAGAAAATGACGTAACACCGCACAATCTGGGCTCTCTTTACAATTTGGCAGGCCTGGCTGAAATAGTAAATACTTGGGCGTCAATAGATGTTGTCTTTCAGATTGTCAGATTAGAGTAGCCATTTATGTGGGTGTAAATGTCCAGTAAGTGAAGTGATGAATTTTTGAAGAATTTTGAAATCAGAAATCTTGAAAATGCCCCTAGAATTTGTTATGCAGCTTCAAATTAAACCCGGCAGCAAGTGGTTAATGTAAAAGTCAAGAATTTTTCACTTTGCGGAAAATCGCTGATTTTGGGGTAGAAAGCGGAAAACGCAATTCTCGGTAAAGAAATAAAACAAATTTTTTTTTATCATTTCTGCACAAATGATCAAATAAATATGAACCCAAAGTAGGAATGACAACTCATTTTCACTGTTTAACTCACTTTGAAAGTAACATTTGGTAGCATTTCCCCTCCTGTTTTTCCTTTGCGAAATTGATTTCCTCCGGTTCCGTATCGCAGAGATCATACAAGTCCTGTTCTCTACATAGTGCCCAGACGTCTCATGGCTTATGAATAGATCAATAGGGACATGGACCAGTCCAAAATCACAGTGGCATGGTACGTTGTAGGCCCTACATTTATCATTATGCCAAAGATGGGCTACTCGTAGATGTATGGTAAATGTAGGCCTACAGTACTGGACTGGACATATGAACAGGTACAGTCACATACAGTTTTTGTACACACAATTTAGAAAGCAGAAGAAAGCAGAATTTGACTTTCCGAAAGCAGAAAATTCTTGACTTTATTATAATGCAATGATTGTCTTAGGTGTACATAATAAACCCAGTGGTACAACCTGATAAGACTACAGTATGTTACACCTCTGTCCACTGTCAAGCAGGCTGTTGTATTGCAACATGGTTCTGCATAATTCAATAATGGGCTGGTTCCTGTGATAAGGCATGGGAGCTTATTTATTTTTGTGCTGTTTGATTGTTTGGAGTCTGGACTTCAAGAGCATGCACTGCCATATAGGGCTCGTGCAGAAATGCAGGCAGAATTTGCATTAATAATTTATTCACTTATAAAGTGCATATTCTATACACATGTGTCCAAATGCACTGTACAATCCACCCCAACAGCACACAAGGGCGCCTCGGGCAGCCGCCCAACCCACGTCCACCTACATTTGGAGAAGCATATAAGAAGCAATCATATAGAAAATCCCAGAGAAGAATTTTCTGGGTAAAATCCACGGAATTAGGTACACCTTAGACTAATTCCAGATATAAAGCCTCGCGAGGAAATGACAGATGTGCACAATGTATCAAATGTGCCCAGTACTAGATTTCCAACATTTCAGTTATTAAAAAATCTGATATTGACAAACCCTACTCTGTCATCAAAGTTTTGTTATACATGTACATGCTTTTTTAAAATCCTAAATACCACAATATGGTATCTGTAAATGACAGGATTACTTCATAGAATTTCTGTCTCTTCAGAGGTTTTGGATGCTTTGTGGCACACCTGAGGATTTTCCTTGGAGGGCCTAAAGGCCAGTCCACTCAGTGCACATGGAGATACGTCTGCCAGAGGGTTACCCCTGGGGTACTGATATGTGTGAGGTGGTCAAACAAATTTTGCCCAAATTCTAGTGCCTAAAGCAAAAGCGAGTGTTTTCATAAAGGCCTAAAATAAGCTCTATATAGACTAATAGTGCATTATTCCAAATTTCCCCTCTGAAATAAATCAGTCTTGTATTCTGTGTCCTTCTTCACCATTCTGAATGATTTAAAACTGATCTCTATCAAAATATCTGAATTCTTTTGCTTTTTTTCTTTCTTTTTTCTTTTCTTTGTGTATTTTAAGTGTGAAGTGGTAAAATTCACCAGAAATCCTGAGGTGGTCTCTAAAATCAGTGAGGTGGGCCACCTCACACTTGAATAGGTAGGGAAATCCCCGGTCTGCCATACATGTGCTAAAGACAGACTTTCAGTACAATGTATATTTATGGCATGTGAGTCGTCGCACAACGCCTCATTAATTAGAATCTGACCAGTAGTGGCAGGAAGTAATGTCGTTGCTAATGAACTTGTCCGGGTCGTTCAGTAAATATGCATGTACATGTACCCTGCAGAAAAATTAATTACATGTAATTAATAGTTTAGAAAGTCACTGGTATATTTTGTGTGAATCCAGTTCACTACAGTAATGACATTCATCAGGGTGAACAATGTGTATACAATCATTTGGTCAGTGCTGTCCCAAGCCTAGCTATGTACATGTACCTGCAACTTCTCACCAGCAAAATTTCTTTGGGGGGGGGGACCTGGAAAACTACTCTGTCCACTCCGTTCCACTCAGACCTGTAATGTAAGATGACCAATGAAAAGTTGGACTGGAAACCTGTCATATCATAGATGCGTATCAACCGTGTACATGTAGTTCTCTGATTAGCTCAGGTCTGAAGTATGTGCACACATAAATATTTAAATGAGTTGACAAAGCCGCCGTACCAGAGATCAGGAACAGTAATGTAATACATCAGTCATTGTACATGTATCTGATAGACAGTAGATTAAGACTACTGCCTCCTCCGAGTTACATCACTGATTCTCCCCCTCTCTGTTTTAAGGGTACACAGCACCATCTGTAGTGCATGCATAAAGCCATTAGAAATAATAAATATATCCCATGTGAAGAATTTACTTGGGATGCCATTTGTACAGTTGAGATACATGTACATGTATGTGCATGCAAGATTTTGCATCAGAGAAGCGCACATTGCACAGGTACATGTATGCTACGTTATATTTACAGTACATGGACATGTACGTGGACATGTTCATATGCATGTGCCCCATAGTATATGCCATTGTCACACATACAGTACTTAGGATTCAGTTGCTGTATATTTATGTACTCAGCATGGGTAAACTCAGATAGAGGCACAAGGTCCCTTGAATTTAGTGTAGTCTCCTTCGGCATTGAGCACTTAGCAATCTCTTTAAAACTGACCATCTGTTTATGTTGTATGATAGCTCCAGTGTACATATTTATGAGACACGTTCATACCTTAAGTGTGCCGGTAGGTGCATCATGCATCATACATGTACATGTATTTCAACATGATAATTGGTTATTGATTAAAAATATTTTGGCAGACATTTCTAGATACATCCAAAAAAGTACATACTAGGATGTGTAGTTTCCGCACACACATGTACATGTACAAATACAGTACGTGTAGTTTGTGCATGTGCATGTAAATATCCACTTCATGCCAGATAACGTCTAAACATGCAGGGATTTCCCATTGTGCAGTTATGAGCAGGCAGTCAGTAGTTAAGAAAATTAAGTTTGCCTCATTGGGTCCGTTGGCTGTGTCCACAAAGTTTATTACTCCTCAATTCATACAACCTTTTTTCCAGATTAACTACTACAAAAGCAATTTGATTTCTTAATCAACTTATATTTACTTTTCGGTCATGAAGGCCCACCCTCTAGAAAATAATGGAGCTTTCTAAATGTGGATAATATTTCGACTTGTATTTACTTTTCGGTTATGAAGGCCCACCCTCCAGAAAATAATGGAGCTTTCTAAATGCCGATTATATTTTCATCACCCTCATTGCTCTGAATTAATTAAGCCTGCTGTTTCCAACAGTATCTTAACACTAGTATGTTACAGAGGTACATTTACTGGAGGCATTTCCATTTTGTTTTCTTTTTTGTTCTTCCAAAAAGAGGAAGATAATAATAGACCTTATTTACAGGGAAGCCAGTTTTATCTGGCTCCCTGAATCTATCATATTTAATCTAATCTGTTAAATGGGGTGGTGCCAGACTATTTGAGTTTCCAACCTCACTTTTTAAAATTTGCCTTAAAAAACTGTGTATAATTTATCACATTCTAAACAAAAACTGGCTGAAAATTGTATTAAAATTTTATTTCATGACAGCTGACACACGAATACAGTCTATTGACATGTTATACTTCAGTGCATCCAACAGTGATATCCAATACTTAGTGTTAAAGATACTGACAATATTACATATAATGTTTGCCAGCAGTAGCTGTAATTGGTTTTGGGTTTAGAAAATAACAGAAGTAGTGATTGTCAGACAGTCAAGTTACGTATCTTGGTGCATTAAGAACTTCAAGCTTCTGTAGACTATTCTTTTTACTGATTGGAAATTTAACACTTCTTCTCCATCAGCTATTTGGATGCAAAGACTTGTGGCTGACAGCAAAATGTAAAAAGGCCAAGATCAAAATATCACAGGAAAAAAAAGCAATCGAATGATTAAGACCTTCATTTTTGTCATATATTGAATCAGTGCATGTAAATATCATGGCACCATAAAGAAGTGAATATTTAACCCTAACCCCTGAAGGGTTACTGGCCCTAACCTTCCCCATTCACACAAAGTTAAAGGCTGTCGGACTTTGTTTTTCTGAGGTATGCCAAACCCAATGCAAAAGCCAGCTGTTTGGGGCCTACCAGACCTACATGTATCCCCACAGAATTAAACACTTTACTACTGTTTAATTCTGTGTGGTTGGGGAAGGTTAGGGTTGAACTAGTTTTCACACCTTACATGTAGACTGTGCAGAGCTTGTACCATATGGTAATCGGTGTGTTTGTCAGCTTTGACTATTCTCATACAATCTAATGCAAAGGAGGAGTCAATCTTAATCATGAAGGGATTAGCACGTCCGTACAGCTTAATTAATAATTGTAGTGTTGCAAATGCCCTGCTTTTGATTGAAATTTGCATTGAAGGGAAGGGTATGAACATTTGTTTTTCAATCCAACTTTGCTCCACCAACATACACGTACATGTACATGTAGAGATTCTGGTGCTGTGTACTCAGAGTTTGTGGGGGAAATACACATACAGAACTTGGCCAGGAGGGAACACAAACCCCCAAATCTGACACTTGCTGGGGTAGAAACTGAGCTTGATTTGGGAAATTGATTTGAGCCTGACACGCATGCTGCTAGTCTACTCCTCTAGGGTGTATATTTGCAACCTGCAGCCTGTACATTCGTATGATCTGGTTACATTATGTGAACTGAAAGTAGTGTGATGCTGTACAGTTGTACATGTAAGTGTTAGCATATACTCTTGTTTTCACCAATGAGGGCGTGCTTGTGCACAGTCTGCAGCCATAGATGGATTTGTGACACTGCTAACTGCTGTACGTGTGATAATTTAACCCTAACTCCCCAGAGTGATTTACGAGGGACCATATCCATGTGCACAAATTCCAACACCATATGGTAAACTCTGAACAAAACCTGTGGGACTCTGTTTATTTTGGGTATGCCTGAACCCATGTGAAAGCACTTAGCAGTTTAGGGGCACAGTACCCAGTGCTACAAATTCACACACTTTACTGGTGTTCAATTCTGTGTGGTTAGGGAAGGTTAGGGTTAAAGAAGAAAACTAAGTGAATCTTCAGCAACCTCATGATTGTGCATTATGCACAGTGCAACTAGTGGGAGATAGTGGGAATGTACAGAGAGAAAGACTGTCTCGAAGTCCACCCTGTCTTGAAGCACCCCCTCACTGGCAAAGAGGAGACAGGCCGGTGGGAATCATTTATGTACGCCAGATGCTCGACTGTACATTTGTCAGTACATCCCTTGCCAAGCACGCACCGACCCTGTACACTCGTGTTGTGTGTTCCCGCCCAAAGACCAATGTGTTAAAATCTGCCCTCTCTTATTGCTGCTCAAAGCAGACAGAGCGGATAAATCAAGTACATTACATGATTTACAAATGTACATTCCCCCCTGTGCATGGTTATCTTCCATGGTAAGCTTTCCCCGTGGTAAGCACTAAGCATTGTATTCTTGTGGAATATGTTTGGGGATTTCATACCACAATGCCGCATGTGCATGTAGGCATATGCTAATCCTGTGTGTGTGAGTTTGTTTCTGTATTCAGTTGAGGACCTTGAACAATAGAGGACAATAAGGTCCCCGATTGACAGAGGGTCCCCGATTGACAACTACAAAACATAGTCTTCTAAAAAAGTTAAGTACAAACAAAGAGGAACAACAGGGGGTCCCCAGTTGCAGGCAAATATACACTTGGATGTGTGTGTGTGTGTGTTATGATATCATAAATGTAGATACACTTATGCAAATGAACTGATTTATTTTCATAACAGATGTTGGCCACAGGATTTCGGCTGTTTCTTTAAGCTGAGAATGAACTTTTTTTTCCAAATCCATAGAAAAACGAGAAGCCTTCTCAAAAGAATTTTTCTGAACATTTTCTTAGCTGTTACATGTAAAGAGAGAAAATTTTAATTTAATTTTAATTTAACCTCTTATAATGAGGACTTTGAACATTGTTCTAAACCAGCGTCTCCCCACATCCACAGCAGATAGTCAACTTTTTGTGTTAAACTTGTTAAAAGGATTTGGAGGATTGAGGAAGGAAAAGTTGGAAGCCACGTACGAATTTTACATTGACCTGACCACGTGATACTGCCAAGGTGTTCTAGCATGTTCTGTTGATTCATCAGTGTCCAAGAGTTTTAGACACGAGTTGAAGTTATACATGTAGCATTGGTGATGTGTTTCTTCTCTGCTTTTTTGTGTCAGATGAAACTGGTAACTTTTCCAAAGCGACGGTGGTGAAAGCTTCAAATGACAAGAACACAGTGGTGAGTCCAAGAGCAGGATAAATGAAAGGGTCATTTTTCTGTGCCACTCCTGGCCTGTTTCCGAAGCCCGATCACCATTTGAGCAATTCAAAGGTCATTGTGCCTGATTGGCTTATCGTGCCCTGCCCATCTGTATTGTCAGACAAGCTTTAGTGATTTCAAAGGTTCAAAGGTCATTTCTGATCTGTCCAGTTCCCTCCAATCTTTGCAAGTGATTATTGCTTAGCTAGAAAAGTGCAACATGGTTCTGTCTTGTTGTGATGTTTTGATGGAATGTGCTCTTCTGTACTTCCTTTAACCCAACCCCCCAGGCTCCTGCAATAGAAAGCACACTTGAGCCTCACAGAATCAAACAGGTTCATGTACTTGTCTATGTACTTGCACATGCAGGTCACTGTACCAAACCTACCAAACTCCAACAGAATGAGCCCGTTGGAGTTTGAGTGATATGGTATGGATGGGTCTATGCAGTATAGGATGACTTGCACTGAACAGTACCAAACCTGTACCAAAATCAAGCATACATGTAGTCAAACAGTGGGTACAGCAAGCCAGACACTGCGCACAGTGACTCCTGTGTGTTCCAACTCACACAGAATCCAACAGCATCTCCCTGGGCCTTTCATCCCAAGTCTCACAAAAGTCAACAACAAGTTCCTCAGGTACAGTACCAAACCTGCCAAAACCTCACAAAACCTGCTGTTGGAGTGTGGCAGGTTTGGGGTACATGTAGTTAGGGTTAAAGGGTTAGAAATTTAAATATTTCAACAGTGTCATTTTTTTGTTTGTGGTTCCGAGACTTGAAATGGCAATCAAAATGTAATTTTAAAGTTAGCGTCTGAGATGGTAGACAAGATGCAGTTGAAAAATTTTCCAGAAATCCAGATTCCCCACCCCTTTGAGAAAAAGTAGATAAGTGGAGAGAGAAACATCTCTTTTAAAAGTGACAAGAAGATTACAGACTCCTTCGTGCTGTCTTGTTACTTGTGATTACCATTGAGCTTAGCTTCCTTGAAAATGCAAGCATTTTTACATTTGCACCTGTTCACTTTAAGTAAAGGCAGGTATCAAATGCGAAAAATGGGGGGAAAAAATACAAAGTTGCATTTTGATCTGTCCATGCAGGCGAGCGACTTCAATGATCTCACCAGCTGGCCTTCCTTGGGTGGCGGTCCACAAGCCAAGCGAGAGGTAAGGCAGTAGAGATGGATGGAGGGTCCTTTCCTCATGTGCAGAATGACAGATTTTTGGGGCAGTGTAGCTCTTTTAAAGTACTGGTGGTTGGGTTCGGCCTTATTTCCTACAAAATCAAAATCTGCCAGTTTTTGAAGGTTGTGGGAGGTTTGGGGCTAACGAGCACAGACAGAGATAAACAATCCAATGGTTTTGATTCCCTTCTGCAGATGCCTGTATCTCCAAGGGCAAAGGAGTCCACCAAAAGTGATCCCTCCCCTAAAAAGGACAGCCCCGCAGCCAAGAAAGAGCCTCCCCAAAAGAAGGAGACGGCTGCCTCCGCCAAGGGCCGAGACAGCAAGAAATCCCCCGCCCAGGAGGCACGGGCTGCCAGAACACCAAAGGAGGACAACAAGCCAGTGGCAGCGTTTTCCAAGGCCTCTGAGTCACGGTCATCAGAGAAACGGGACAAGGACAAGGACAAGAAGAAAGGTAAGACAGTGCGGACTGGTTGCAGAGATTGTAGAATAGAACAGTATCCGCTCCGAACGGAACAAAAGAGGGCGTGGGGTTTTTTTGGCACTCACCGCATAGGCGCGCTATGAGGTGCGCAAGTATATGCATGTTGGACGCGGAGCACGCCGAGTACGTGTAACTAATTTATTTTGGCCTGTATGGTCTTTGCGTCCACCAGAATGCACACAAGACCCGCTGGTAACCACCTGTCTTTCTTTTGCCGATTGGGGGGTGCACTTCAGCTCGGGGCGGATACCTGCCACCCATTTCTGTCTATCATGAACTGTTCCGATATTTAAGTTCACAGACTGCAAAAAAACTGGAACATTCAAATTTTGATAAAAAGGAAAAAGTCATGGCAAGAGACTTGTTTCTCATGCATACATGTGTAAAGATTAACATGTAGATACACGTAGCTTCTCTCACATTTGGGTCATTCCATGAGGTTGGGGGTTAATTTGTGACAGTGTCCATTGTTACGTGCGTTCTGTAACTGCTACATGTATTTCCCTGCATGTGGATTCCAAATTGACACTGTTATACATGTTCATCTTGCAAGGCTGAATACAGAGTTGTGTGTTGTTTTGTTGAGTAAGTGACCTACTCTACAGGTCATGAACAGGTAGTAAATGTTACCCAAGTAACAAGGACACCGTCACAAATTGTGCCCCAACCTCATAGAATGACCCATTTCTGCTTTTTTTGCTCTTGACTTGTAGAGTAGGTGTCCCGATTTTCGAATTTATTTTATAATGTTGACAAGTGTGGGACAGGCTTGTGCAGGATTTTTTTTGTAACAATCCTATGTGGTAACCAATTATTAGTTACGCTGTAACCGAGGATTAGCAGGCCTAAATATGAAATGAACATCAAGAGGTATTGTTTGAGCATTGTGGCTGTGGCTAACATTAACACATCCACTTATGGAAGTCGCAGCCTTGTGGCCGTTGCCACTTCTCATAGACACTCGGCTTACTGCAGGCCCCAGCTAGATAATTTGGTAGCTGTCTAAATATTGCTTTGACTCTGTGTAGGAACAGTAGACAATGCTTTGTGATTTATGAAGAGAGTTCTGGTGTGGGTGGTCCAACGTGTCCGTGCACTGGTTTCCACGCATACTTCGTTGAATGCACCTGGCCTGGTTCCATCGGAGTGTGTACACAACCATCTGTTTCTTTTGATCAGCCGCCGAACTCGTGCCATTTGAGTTTCAACCGCGCTGGTATCTCTCATTGCTTAGAGGAGACCCTACTTACACTTAGGTACCATCCTTATTGATTTCATAGTTTAAACTCAAAAGAGTGAAACAAAAGGAACTTAGCGACTGAAGATGGGCAGCGGAGGCGTTAGTGGACAAGAACATCATCGCTTAGGGAGCCCTGAAGTTGAGGAGTCAGTGCTGCAGCCGAACCCCCGAACCGAACCAAAAATCGTCGAACATAGCACTTTCAAACCCAACCGAACTGAACTGGTCAGTTTGGATGTTCGGCTTTAATATGGCATGATATTGATAGCGCACAGAATGCGATAGAAAAGCAAACACAACCAAAATGGATAACGAGTTGTGCTGCTCCGCCACTCAGCACATTTGTGTGTATACATATACTATAAATGTACTGTACATGTACCGGTACATGTACATACATGTACAGTAAACTCACGAAGGCCCCGCATTGCGTAATAGTTGTAAAAAGTAAGTGGTTAGAATTCACTAATAATCAACCAAGAACATGCAACATATGGCATTTCCGCTGCACAACAATTCTAAGTTCTCACTACATCCAATTGTGCTTATGTATATTCAAATTTAGCATTATGTTTGCCACTCTCCGATAACCACGTCCTTACTCATAGTTGGCCATGCAAAATGAATTTTGATTGGATGCTGATCACAGTCAGGCTCATGCTTGATTGAAGTAACTCTGGAAGGAAAACTGATTTTGCCAGGCGGACCGTGCCGTTGCAGTGCTCCAGCACAAGACAAGATTTGGTTCGCATGGTGGCCCAACTTGCCTTAAGTTGATCTTGTGTGATCGTAGTCGTAATATGAATATGTTGTTATGGAATTTTGCCAGATCTCGAAGTTGTTTGCAAATAACAAAATGCCATTATCCATTCGAAAAAGACTGATGGAAAATTGCCCCTTTTACCACACGGGCGCCATCCTGGGAAAGAATGCTGACTGGTTAGGCAGTTGAATCTGTTTCGTAAAAAATAACCAAAACTCAATTCGCTTCAAATCTAATTTGCTCTTGTCTCCTGTAAAGGAGATACGTGTAACTCCCGTTTGAGCATGCTGCTTTTTTCTGTTTTTACATATCCTACGATCGTTTTGTTGAGTCAAGCGTGGTCCAAACATGATTGCTTTTGGTTGGCAAAACACGGTCGGAAACTGTCACACCTCCAACAGTAACTGTCTGTGAAATTTTAACTCCTAAACAAACTTTGGGGAAACAGTTTAGACAAAAATTATGTTGACATTGAAGTTGATCATTGGCGGGGATAAAGAGGAGATTCATTGCTACACATGGAAGTATGATGTACAGCATGTTTGTTAATAGCATGCTCTTTGACGTCTCAATGTGCATTATGTGTACGTGTCTGAACCTGAACCGAACTGAAGTTCGGCAAAAAATTTCCGAACTGTGTCCAAACCGAACCGAAACTTGGCACCTACTTGCAGTATTATGAGGAATGCAAGCAATGTGGCAGTAGATTGTTTAACCCTAACTGCCCAAGGGTTGCTGGACCTAACCTTCCCCATTCGCACAAAGTTAAACACCCATATGCACAGAGGCTGTTGGACTTAGTTTTTCTGAGGTATGCCCAACCCAATGCAAAAGCCAGCTGTTTTGGGCCTACCAGACCTATCCCCACAGAATTAAACACTTTACTACTGTTTAATTCTGTGTGGTGGGGGAAGGTTAGGGTTAATGCTGTTAAAAATGAGAGATTTCAAGATGCAAATTTTAGTGAGAGGCCAGTAGCTGAACTGATGTTGTCATTTAAGATACTGCATCGCATGGCAATTCTGAAAGGTAGAGGTGCAGTAATCTGCATGCAGTCAGAAATGCTATACCTATCTTCATTTCCCAATGAATGCCACACCTCCAGATAATGAAAAGGTCTGCTTTGGAATTCTCACTTACCAACATTATATTTCCCCCTCCAGACACCTGTTCAAAACTGATAACTTAAGTTCAGCCACATTCGTATTGCATTAACAGGTGGCTATTGTAGAATTGCACAAATGTCTGTGTACATGTACTTTTACTTGCATGACCGAACATCCAACCCAAAGACACCCAATACCTCTCCTGCCATACAATCTGGATCTTTTCTTTGTAATTTAGGTTGTATATCTATCAATGGGGGGTTGGTTAATGTAACAACGGGTTTGTTTCAGGGCAATTGCTATAACTCCAGTGTTGAAAAATCGGTATTTATTGTACTTTAATCTGAAGCCTTGTTTACTAAGAAATACGGAATGGGCCAAAGATACTTCCTGGAAACCACTGTCCAATCAGCACCAAGTAATTTCAACCTGAATTTTTTTCCTGCGTTTTCTCTTTTATGGCCTGTGCTTATTTGTGACTATAGTTTGTGAAGTTTGAAACTTGTGGTGTTTCACTTGAATGGATTCACAAATGAAAAATGGAACTGTCAAAGGTGAAAGTGGTGGAACTTCAGCCTTTACACAACATCAAATTTCTCTGTGAAATAGAAATGACATCCATCAGACAAATGCTTGATTGTGAGGACGATGCAAATGTCCAATTTTACAAATCAGGCAGTTGAATTACAGGTAATTGCCATGCAGCCGTCTAAAATTAAACAAGGAAATTAAAGATTCACGAGAAGTTGTAAATCTGTATGCCTGTTAAGATGATGGTTTGGTTCATGGGAATTGTACCATATGTTAAATACAACAGCCACCCTTTTGCACAAAAATATCTTCTATCAGCTTTCAGTTACCAAATTTCACCCTGATAAAAAATTCATTATCAAGTAATATATTAGCAAATAATATCTTGGAAAAATACCTGACATAAGAATAGCTTATGGACGGGTAGTGGTTTCCTTTTTTTTCTGCAATGACACATACATGTATAACTACAAGTATTTATCTGTACTTATCTCAGGTCATATATCATATTACTCAGTATCCGTAAAAGAGTCTGTTGGTGAAGACACGATCTCCATGTACATGTACTTATGCATGTACACTGTACATAAACCACAGCCCTCAGTCTACAGCCATGCCTGTGCCACTCCAGCGGTTCCCCGAATATTGCGCAATACCCACTCACACCGGCCACGGTGCTCTGTGCAGTCACATGGCCAACATGGCACATAGCCAACCACGTTTCCATGTTGCCAGTCACGGACAGTGCTTTTCAGCGTGTCTTTTATCCAAAGGGGCAACTAGTTCACTGTGACGTGCATGTGCAACATATGTGGCATGCATATGGCTCGTGTGTGATTGTGAACCATTGTGTGGTACAACTGTGTCAGCCCTTTTGCCATCAGGACAGGGAGATTTACATGTACATTCACAGAGACTGGAAGCACCGGGTTATTTGGTGTTGAAACCTGGGGTGAATGTCGAATATAAACTTCAGAAACTCAAACCTATTATTAACTTTAGTGACCTTTTGGCAAGCCAGGTGTAATAAAACATTTCAACAGACTCCATATGAATTGCTGTGCTACTTGCTATACATTGTACACGTACAGTTCAGGACAATTTACAAGAACATTACTGTATAACTGTGATGTCATTTATCAGTGGTAGAGCACACATCAAACTGACCACTTTAAAGATACATTTTTTTCATTGAGGAGGAATTCTAAACATTGAAAGGATAGGTAAATTTCAAACTCAAAAACAAATCAGGTTCATACAAGTTAGCTGTTAACATAAATTAAAGGCAACTCTGCTTGTCTGTCAGTAGAGTATCACCCTCCGTGGAATTTGGACTGAGTGCACAGTCCCTTTAAAATCAAATTAGCTATGCATTGATCTGCATGTGTTGGTAGACGTGTACAAATTCCAGGCTTGATTTTGTGGCAGACTTCACATGTAATCTGCACACCACTACAGCGTACATGTACCTGCAGACTGGGCCTAAAGGAGAGGCATACTGAACAAAATGCTGGTCAGATAGGCACGCACAGACGACGCTTGAACTGGTGGCGACAGGAAACCAAAGCAAAAAAAAACAGATGACGATCGGCAAAATGTGAGTGGGAACCTTCCACGTGGATTGACCTTCGTCGGAAAATGAGGAATTAATTGTGTGCACTCGGCTTTCCACAATATGGTTCAATATGCTGTCTCCATGTGACACGGTGTGTACATGTGCGTGGAGCGACGCCGCACTCTGGCCCCGTCAAATGTCGCTTGCTGAAGACATGGGTTCCAGAATCTGAATCGCTGCAGCTTTACACATAGATTTTACGCACAGAATTTCCAAGAAGATTTGCCCAATATTTGTCACCGTTCATTTTTTTTTTTCAACCAATCAATATCATGGCACAAGTGGGGGTTGTCTCCACTCCAACTGCTGCGAAGAAATCAGCCGGTGAGTATGCTATTAAAATTGTTAGATTTTAGACGCATTCCAATTTTTAACATATGTAAGCATCTGGAAGAAAAACAGACTAGTAAAATAAAGTGAAAGTCAACTTTTCTCTTAAAAAAATTAATGTTTGAAATGCATATTGTCTGCTCACACCGTCACCTGAGCAGTATGTGGTATATTTCTGCTCTGCCAGTTAATGCTGGCTGTTGGACACCAGCTTATTTTTCAGTGACTTTTGCTAGTGCTATCTTACCAGCCCTCAATCTTGTGAATCAGATGTGTTTCCATGGCTGGTACAGGTGTCACGTTGGCCATCTGTTAATTGTTATTTGACATTTTCAGTGACATCAGGTTCTGAGCTGAAGACAGTTTTTCCACAACTTCATATTTCGTGACGGTATACTTTTCCAGTCGTGGAAATGAAACACTGTAATACGATTTGCTTCAAAGAAGAGAACTCAGTGTGTCATCAGTTTCTTTCTGACAAATTCAATTGCATTTTACTTTCTTCCCGCCTATCCATGTCGTATGCAAATTCCAGATTGGTTTCCCTCAACTTAAGCATGACCTACCAATTGGAGTGGTTCACCACTTCATGCAAAATTTAGTTCATCTACAGTATACATGACATTTTCTCTGCAAGAAAATTCTTATTTTTGTGGGTAGCATTTTAAAACACCGAGACATTAATTTTTCTCTACCAACCAGTCCCTCAAAGAAGAAGCTCACCCTAGGAACAAAGTTAATTGAATAGCAAATAAATTCACAACATGGTATAAACAGAGTAACTTGACTATAGTAAAGACCAAGACAGAAACGCGTACATGTTCCTATATTTTTTTAACATGCTTAATCAAACACAGATAATTAAAGCAGAAAGATCAAAAAGATAGCATGTGGCGTTCACGGATCAATCATGGAATTGACACATGGCATGGGGTTCTGTTGAACAATGCTACAATGGATACATGTATGTACGTGTACGTGTATGTGTGTACATGTACGTATGTACTGTACATTGCATCTGGCCATAACAATACACCCTGATATTGTATGTACCGTACCATGTCCACACGTTATTTAATATTTACCGGTACAGTACATGCACTTTAAAATGTGCTACAATTCCTCTTGTTACCATTAAAACTGTATATGCATGCACAAGCACATGTACAGGTACATGTACATCTTGCATGCTTGTTTGCACAACACGTGGTCTTACACTGTGCATTGACCTGGGTAGGGTGGGCTGCTTAGGTACATGTATGTGATAGGTGGCAAAATAAGAAACTACATTGGTTTGCTTGTTTGTTCCAGGCTGATCACTCGTGCATGGTAGCAGTCATGAACTTTGTAAAGTACTTTTGCATGTACATCAATGTGTATTGTGGATACATATACATGTACATCTACCGGTATGATTTTGACGTGTGTTCAAGTTCACAATATGGTGGTTTTTTTTCATTTTTAAAAAAGTATACAAAAGGCACATGTATAACCATGGACACGAATTCACTTATTTTAAAGTCACAAATCGGAAGCAAATGAATCTTGGGCTTTTGTATTGATTAAAATAAAACTTGGCCATTATTATTGATACATAAAGACAGTTTGTAACATCAACACAGAAATATTACACTTTTAGAACCTGAATTTGTGGAACGACCTGTTTAACTGTAATGATTAAACTAAGTATTACTGCATGGCACAGGCGATATTGTCAAAAAATTGGTGTGGCATATTATGAATTCACTTTGTCTAGACATTGAATATTTTGATATTCAGCTGCACCCAGTGACATCAGCAAAATTTTCTGGTCCTACTGTTTCAACCAAAGGGTTTATCATTTGATTGTTTGTATCAACCACTTATTCAAATATGTATAGTTCAAGAAATACTTGAGTTCACTGTTGAACCCAATTGTGCAGATTTTCTTTTTAAAGGCATTTTTCTTTGGTATTTTTGTACACTTTTCAGCTGTCATTTAGCCATATTTTGTTCACCACATCTGCGCTGCACTATTCTCCAAGATTGGATGGAATTTCAGGCTATTCATGGTGAAGGACAGCAGTGGGTGGAAAGGCTTGCGGTAGCACCATGCGAAGGAATATATCTCTTTTATGAGTATGTGTGGTTCAGAAACGTTGAGTATACTCCCAGTTCTTTTCTGAACCACACATACTCATAAGAGAGATATATTCCTTTGCATGGTGCTACCGGAAGCCTTTCTACGTGTTGCTCTCCAAGATCAACAATTACTGATTCCTGAGGTTATGATTGGCAAGTACATGTGGAACGCTATCTGCTGGAGATGTTCGGTATTTCAAGGCTAACAGGCACCATGTCTTTTGCCTCTTTGTCATTTTTCAGACAAAAAGCCCAAGTGGATCCCTCTACCGCTGGACCCGCCAGAGCCCCGCAGCAAAGGCCGGGACAGAGAGCGAGACCGGGACCGGGACAGGGAACCCAGGCACGGACCGGCCCGTAGCGGCAGGGACAGGGAGGGTGGCGGCCAGGAGGGGGCCCTGCCTCATCGGGACCGACGGGACACCCGGGAGAAGAGAGAGAGCAGGGAGTCAACAGACTCGCCCAGGCACGTCAAGGAAACCAGCAGCAAAGGTGAGGATTTTGTTTTAGGGGCTTACAACTTGCTGTGTGTGACTGGACACCCCAAAATGAGGCTTAAGGTTTGGTTTTGTTTGAGTTTGTATTTAGGAGTAATTCCAGAAATTAGGGGTCCAAAAGTGTGATATTTTTGTATCCCCGTTACATCTGACTTTTGTTATTTGACTTGGAAATATCACTGGAATTGATTTCAAACTGTTACTATTTGTTTGGCAGGTAATTTGCATTAATTCATCACACTTGGAAATTAGAAAATGTGTTCTGAACTTTACAAAATCGTTTGTCAGATGTGACAGGGACATGGAAAAAATGGACCCCTAATTTCTTGAATTGTCCTGAGAACAAACTGGGCTCCTATGTTCTTATGTATTGTTCAATTTGGCATCTTGTTAATGGAGCGGAAAAAAATGGCGGATTCTTGTTGATGAAAGGCTTTTTCGTATTTACCCGAAAGCTAAACGAATTCAGTGTCACAAAGCATTTGCTACAAAATTTGCTTGAGTTATAATTATCCAATTTTGTGAATTTGCAGTGAGTATACCAGTATATGACCCGGCCTTTACGTTGTAAAGGCTTATACTCAAAAGTTGTGCTGGGGACATAAGACTCATTTTGTGAGGTTGGGTCATGTGTAACCTGTGGTGATGCAAGTCGCTTATCTAAGCCGTTTCTGTCTGGTATGGCTTTGGCTCTGGACTCCGCCTTTGAATGAGACAGGGCACTTTATTACAACAGGGTCCCTGATGGCCAACATACAACGTGCCTCCTGTGTACTTGTTTATGTGCGTGGGAGCTCGGTTGGTCACCATAGCAACATAGCAACCAATGAGATGGTGTGAGTCATGCGACAGCTTCCTGTTCCATTAGGGTTTGGTTACTATTCTGATAGAACAAAGATTGTCATTATACAAGCTGTCTTCAAGGAGCTATGATGGACACTCAACAGATATACAGCAGAATGGTCTTGTTTCATTGTATGAATGACTGAGATATAGTTGGCATGTCTACCCTGTGTTGAAGTGCGCCCTCACTGGCAAAGGAGAGACAGGCCGATGGGAAATTTTTTTCAACTGAGCTCATGCACGCGCCTGACGCACACATGGAGAGCATACAATCCAACATAAATTGGCTGCACGTTCTCAGCTCGCTCGGCAACAAATGTGCACGTAAGCCTGCCTACTCACCCGATGAGTTGCAACCAAAGGATTGCCGTGTCAGTGTAAAAACGCACTCTCTCTTGTACTCGTTCAGAGTAGGATTGTAAATGTCTTGGTTTGTCTGTCTCTTTCTCTTCAGGGACGACCCCGGGCTCCTGGCATGAAGAACGCAGTCAAAGCCCCAGTGCCTCCAGCACCGACAGTCGGAGCTGGTCCCGCGGTGCCTACCGGGGTCGGGGCAGGGGCAGAGGTCGTGGCCGAGGTCGCGGCCGCGGCGGGTACTTCCGTGCCGCTGAGTCATGGCCCAGCACAGCAGTAGAACCTGGTAAGAGACTTTCAGTTCATCATTTGTGGCCTGCAGAAAGACAAACTGTAAAGCTATGAGTAATATCAAGCAGAATTTTTGTTTAATTTCTATTCAACAATTGTAAGAACATTCCAAATTGCCGCTAAAGAAGAATTAATCTACGGATACCTAATTACCAGTGCATGAGAATCATTCTTAACATTCTGCTTCATTACAAAAAGTGCGCGGAAACTGCATTTAATCCCTGTTATTTGTTACGTGCTCAATAAAACTGCACAAAATAATAATATTGTCATTTTAAGGAATGCAAGTGGCCAACTTTTTCCTTTGATACAGTTACGGATCCGACCTTCATACCACCCCAGGCGTACTTTGAGCCTGGGAAGTTTGACACACCATTTATGACCTTCCCTCCTTACCCGTATGATGGCTCGTTGTACTCAGCAGGACCCATGCCCCTGGAGCCTGACCAGGGAACGCTACGCGACTACGTCAAGAAACAGATGTGAGTTGGTTCTCGGCAAAGGCTAATGAGTAGAACTGTTTTAGTAGAACTGTAAGGGGAGTCAGGTTTGAGTAGGGGAGTCGGGTTGGAGTAGGAAAGTCAGGTTGGTGTAGGGGAGTCAGGTTGGTGTAGGGGAAGTCAGGTTGGTGTAGGGGAGTCAGGTTTGTGTAGGGGAGTTAGGTTTGTGTAGGGG